ATCAGTTCACCTGAAGAAAATGGCATCTTCGGATGGGGGATCATTGTATCCTATTGATGTCCCTCCCCTCCCCAAACCCCACCTTCCTCAGGTTCCACCCCCCCAAAAAAAAATCTTCACATCTGGCAAGCTTAACCCCATGTGTGGGGATTGAGAAGAATAAACAGTTCATGTCTGAATGTCACAGGGACCACTTCCCCTATCTGTGTTCTCTGTTGGGGGAACTGGTAAGCCAAAAATTGGTGGCTTCAGCCCAGAGTCCTGTTTCCAGCAGTCACTTGATGCAGGAAATGGTGTTTTTGAGCAAATTAGGAATGTATTGGCCTTACTAGTAAGTAACACCACCATCTCTTAACCACACAAACTCTTCCATGATGATGTGTGATTAGGAAACAGAACTTGTAGGTAAAAGATACAAACTCCTAGGAAGCTTGAATATCTGACCGCTATCTACTTCTTCAAAAATTAATTGCTTGCTGTACTTGAAACTTTGGGGACAGGTTGTTTTCATAAGTGATACTAAAAGATGCAGACATCTGTCAAAAGCAACCTTTCTCATGAAACTTTTTACCCCCTTTGATACTACAAAACTACAGATCCAATTCTGCTTCACTTCCTTTTGTATCTCACTGGCACTCTTTTGTTTAGCCTGCAGTTAATATAGCATGAGGGTGTGTGTGTGTGTGTGTGTGTGTATGTGTTAGTGTGCTGCTCTTTCTTTTCTCCAAAGAAGCTTGCTCAGCTCCCACACAATATTTTTCCCATCCTTTCATTCTCAGTGGTTTGACATTCTGAAGTTATGCACTGTTTCTGTAAACACTCTGGGCTAGTTTAATCCGCAGGTGCTGAGAGCTGGCTTTTATTGTTATCGCTGCCTGACAGCAGATGAGTTTTGGAGTTCCTGTTTGCTAATGTTTATGCAGCAAGCACAGGTTTAAGCTACATAAGCTGTTGTCTGGTGGTCTCTGTTTAGACAGCCTTTTGAGAATGGCTTGTGTTTTGGCTCTGTGTGAGAGTGCTTAATTGGATATCTGGTAATGTGGTAAAGCTGATAAATGTGTCCTTGTAAATTAAGACTATTCATATAAATTTGGGAAGATGTGCAAGCTGATGAGTGAGCTAGGACAAACTGTAAAAAAAATCTCTGGTAGTTTTGCTGAGGCAAGAGGGATCAACTTACTTTGCAGAATTAAGGATCAAACTGAATTGCATTTGAAGGAAAAAGGAAAATCCAGAACCTGATTATACTCAGGAGTCATTTTAGTGTTTGGCTGCTGGTCAGTTTTCCCAGAAGCATGTAATTACTTTTTTCTGACTTAATTAAGGGTTAATGTATGCACCAGGCATGAAAACAGCAGCACCACTTAAAAAAACACATACAAAAAACCAACTTTGCAAGTATTAGAAGACAGGCAGTTATCCTTGAGACTTGGCTAAATACTCTAGTCTCCTGCTCTCTCTGGATTTCCCTGGTAGCTCACTAGTACTAGTGTGGGTATGCAGGTCCTCTGATAAACTGGTTGAGCCACATGCTTGGGGATCTATAGATGACAAGTTTGTTTTGGCTTCTGTCAAATCCTGATGTTGAAATGATTTGTGGAGTGACCAGTCAGCCAGATGCATTTCTGGCTTAGTGAAGTAACAGAGGGTAGAATGTCTTTGTCCCTTTCAGGGATACTCCCCCCCAACCCCCCCTGTTGTTGCTGCTAAATTAAATTTCCTTGGCTTTTATTAATACTGTGTTAATGGATCACAATAAAAAGGATTTCTCTGCATGTTTTCTGAAAGAATATTCATTTTTTAAAATTATATCGTACTAGGTAGTATACAAATTCTTTTGACAACCAAACTGGTTGCAAGAAGATGCAAAGTGGAGCACCATAAGGTTGTCTTAGTACTAGAGAAGTAGTACTGCATCATGGCTAAGAGCCCAAGACTACTTCTGCATAGAGATTTTGCCCCTCATGGCCAGTTGGATACTCTGGCTTCTGGGGGGAGCTTCCACATGATGCAGTGCTCCTTTGCAGTATGGCTCCCATAGCCCCCCTCTTTGAGCCAGAGGTTTTTTTGCTCCTGTTCAAAGGGGAAACTGTGGGATAGCTGCAGTGCAGTGCACATAACAATCCTATGCATTCACTGAATGTGTAGAGAGGGAGAGCAGGAGCAAATACACAAGCCCTGCCTCTGTGCAGTCACTTCTGTGCATTCAGGAAGGGAAAGTTTACATGGCCACTTCCTCTGTGTGGTTGCCCCTACAAATAACTAGTGTGTAGGCAGGTGGAAGAACCAGTACATGTGCTCCCAACTCTCGCGCCCCACATGTTCAACGAACTCGTGGGGCTGTCACGTATACCAGGCTACAGAGTCCATGGAGATGCACTTTCCACAGCCAGTCTGTGGAGGGAGTGTAGCTCTCCCTTCAAAATGAAGAGAACTTCTGCATTCTCCCCCCTTGAATCTGTTTAATGGGCTTCTCCCCCAGCAGTTGTATTCTAAGCAGTTCATCTGGGAAACAGATTGCCAGGCTATGGCGGTGGGATGTGGTGGGGGTTGCATGATTATTGGCACTTCTATGACACTGCATGCCTCCACCATGCTCACCACTGTTTTCCTGCACTGGTGGAAGCAACTTGAGGTATAAACAAAGAATTATGGTTTAAATCTCCTCATGGCCATCAATTCAATACAAGGACTTAAGAAGATGTAACCCTCCAGCCTTACTTTCCAGTCTGCAATACTTGGGTGATAATTTAAGGATACAGTGTTGTGTTGTAATAAGGATTCCAGATGTAATGTATGTGAAGCAGTTTTGTCTCTCTGAGGACTATATGAGCAGAAAGTCCTTCTCATATGTTATATTATACTATGGTGCTCTCAGAAATCCTTGAGTTTTCCTTGTAGTTTAAGGTGCATTGGTAGGAAGATCTAAAGATAGAAGCCAAGAGCAAAATTTCCAAGAGAGTGATTAGAGATGGGCATGAACCAGCTCATGAACTAAAGTTTGTGATTAATTTTGGCTGGTTCGTGGTTTGCGAAGTGAAGTTCATGACAGGTCAACCAGATTGAACTTTCAAGTTGTTCGTGGTGGTTCATGAATGGATACATTTCTAGATAGACTGTCTCTGCTCAATCTAAATGTTTACAAAACTTCAAAGAAACGGGAGGGGGCAGAACTTGGAGGGTATTGAGGAGGATTCAGAGGAGGTCCCCTGTGACTTTGATGTATAGAATGGCTCCTGTGCAAGCTAGAGACACCAAACTGACAGGGGATCTCTAGCTGACTCTGGCTCTATCTGCCCCTCTACCAGCTGACTCTCTTCTACCTGCACTTTCCTGGGGCACCTTTTTGGGGGGGGCGTAATTCAGACCCTGTAAATCCAATCCTCACCAAACTTGGAGGGCAGGCAGAGGAGAGTCAGCTAGAGATCCCCTGCAAGTCTGGTGAGGTTCATGACCCAGGGACCCCTGGGTCACAAACCTCATGAACTGAACCATTTTGATTGGCGGCTAAAAGTTTGTGACAGTTTGTGAACCAGGCAACCCATGAACCAAACTGCATTTTCCCAGTTTGTGCCCATCCCTAATAGTGATTCAGAGCCAAAACTGACAGACGGTGGCTGCATTCAGAGGTCATAACAGAGCTTTTCTCATGAATGCAGGTTGCCATGTATGCAGACTCTATCACTCCTTTCTTGACTGTGACTGAAAACGTCCTGGCTTGGCTAGCCCTTGAAAATTGACCTTGAGATCCAAGTATGGATGATATTTCCCTACTCATCCCACCACAGTCCCAGGAATTCTAAACCTTGTTTTAATCCCAGTTTAAGATACTGGATCATGGGGAACTGACAAATTCCAATTTTCCCAGATACCTGCATGAGGGTGTCACCACAACAAGCTGTGTTCTGTGCCCATCACAGGCAAACATCTCTCTCCCCTGATATCTGAATGCAACCCAAGAATGCATCACGTCATGTTCTGTACTGGCCATTTTTCTTTTGAAAAGTGTTTCTTGCTTCATTATTCTATGGTATTTTTAACCAATGATATCTGCTTACCTCATTCTTCTTAGTCCTGAAACTGGGGAAGAGAATAGTTATGAAGAAACAGTATCTTACCTGAAACAGCCAGAAAATTCCTCTTGCTCAAATGTTGCTCAAGAAACTACTCATTGTAAGTCTTATCAGTTGTTTGGTATATGCATGCTTATGGAACATGTTGTCAGGTTTGCAGCAACTCCATAGTTAATTAGTTTGTAACATGGATGAGTCCAGTGTTGGAGAGAGAGATCTGAAAGTACTTAACAAGAAAATTCAACATTACTATTCAGGGATAGAAAAAGTATGTGAAGTCAAGGGAGCATTTCTATCCTGCTAGAAATATCTTAAGACTTAAACTTGTGTCTGGTTCTTCATTGCAGAGTATGGGATTCTTTATCTCTTCTTTGTAGTAACTGTTGCCAGGGTTCTTGATCTTTTTCTTATTGCCATTCAACCCATCCTTTTATCGCTTTTTATCTTAGCTGTTCGCTGGGGAGTGCATTCTACAGGATGTTCCTTAAGTAACATTGTAGGCCTCCACTTATGAGGTCTGGGATACAGATGGCAATTGTATGCAAATATTGCCTATAGTTATGAATGTGTACTGGCCCATTTAAACAGCCTCTGTGTGTGTGTGTTTAAATATACATCCTCTTACTTTCATGTAATAGTGTTATTAATGAAAAGGCTACATAGTCTAAAGAAGCCCTGGTGGAGAATGTAGGCTAAACTAGCATTAACTGAAATGCCAAATTATTAGTGGTAATGACTGTATTATAATGGAAATGAACTGAATAAAAATATGCTAACTGTTGACCATTTTTATTCTAGCTTCCAAGCTGGGAAAAGTGGAAGTTATCAAGGTATTTTATTTCCTTTGTTCATGAATACTAGGCCTGAATCATACAGTATTCATCATGCTGTGGTACATGCAAGCTTGAGCTGTTGATGGCGGTGGGAGATATTGGCATCAATTGGCAAAGAGTGTGTGATTTTCACCAGTTACGTACTCCCTTATGTTACAGACCCCAGTTCACCCCATGCTGTTCGTGGGACCCACCACTCCCTAGAGACAGGATTTTAGGCAACAGAACAAATTGCAATGGTATGAAGAAAAGTTCAGTTCCATGAGCACTAGTCCATTTACACTAGTTAAGCTCTAGTACATCATTCACAACCAGTTGCCTTATCAATTTAAATTTCCATTCACTGCAGAGGATTGTAGAGTGCTGTTCAGTCTGATGTTATGCATTTTGCTTGGAAGTAAGCACCATGGACTTCAATTGAATTTACTCTTATATATGCTTCCATAAGATTGCATCCTAAGTTTGTTAGGAATTGGTTACCTTACTTCATTAGGTCTTTTGAAGGTTTATACCTGTTGGAACTGGAGTTGATGTGCTGAGTCATACTATTGTAATAACATGCAAACTGTGCCCAGTTGTCCTTGGCTTCCTCTACCTACCCAGTGGATAAATCTCTACAGCTGAGTGGGCTGCTGGTAAGACTGGACAGCATTCCTGAAGGTCATGAGTTCATGTTGCTGCTAAGCCAGTCTCCTTGTCTCATGCAACTTAAATCTATATTGCTGATCTTCCACACAGCAAGTTTGCCCTTAGATGGTTGGGGGGGGGGGGTTAAACAAACTGCATAAGTCTCAAGGGCATTTCCACTAAGTCCATCACTGTGTTCTCAGATGCTGAATACAAGGATGGGTGGATGGGGGCTGAAGTACTCAGCATGTACAGAAGCACTGAATCAGTGAGCCAAAACCACATAACAAGGGCTATCTCAAAGTGTTCTGAGAAAATAATCTGATGGTCCCACCATTGTAATAGGGAAGATGTCAGTAACAAGAAAGTGTACAAGAATCTTGTATGCACAGTAAAAAGCTGATTCTTAGCACTGAATGGATAACAGATGTTGCCAACTTACCTGAAGTAGGGTTTTTCTTCCTTTATTCCCCTTATTCCCCTTTATATGAGATATTCAATGCTGCCAGTCATCTGTTCACATGGGGAATGTCCATGAAGCAGCATGCCCAGATCTGTGTTTCAGTACCAAAGTGTGCAACCAGAATGCAAATTTTGGCAACTGCATATTTTTATTCACAAAATAAGGAAGACGAGTGAAGAATTTAAACTCCACGTGAAATGTCTTATTAGTTAAACTTTTAAAATGACTCAGACATCTGGCAATGAATGTGCACACAAAAGAAAAATAGTGGCCAAGAGCCCAAAGACAATGTGCACATGGGGAATCTCTCTCCTGGCCCTCAGCTGTGGACTGTCAGACTAGGACTGATGCCGGAAGGAGAAACTGACCCTCCCCTTTCCCATGGAAGCATCTTACACAGATTGTCTCTTCCGCTCCTGTCCTTCAGTTTCACATTTGATGACATGAAACATGCTTCTATTTTACTGTAAGACAACAATACGACACTGTTTTCAATTTGAATTGAGCCTGAGTGTGTGATAACGGAAGCTGTCTTCTCTGTTTTATGCACAGAATCATTTTCTCACTGCCACACATAGGTAAGTTTTCCCGGGTTTCACCCTGATATTTCATAGTAAAATATTAGAGCAATGGGATTTTTGTACTTAAAGTAAAGCTGACTGAAGATGTATCAACTGTGTACGGACTTAGAATGGTGAGGTGGAAGTAAATTTCTTTTTAAAAATTCTTGTTCCTTCTGGAAAGGTAGTATAGATGGTCATGCAACACTTAAACTATCCTTCATGTCTCATTAGCGATCCTTAGCGTCTTTTGGGGTTTTTTCAAGAGTTGTGGTTTTACATGATAGCACCATTCACTCCAGGCATCATGCAAACTGATGATGGTAACCAGAATCTGTTTGTCTTGTGCAAAATTAACAATAGTTAATCCAGATCAGGGTATGGATAGAATTTATTAGTTTACTTTATAACCCACTTTTCTTATGGAGAGTCAAGGTCGATTAGATGGTATACAACAAAACAGGTCTGGTTCAGGCTGGGAAACACTTTGGGTATTCTACCTATGCCACCTTGGTTTCTATGATTATAGATAAGTGGGGTATACTCCAATGCTCCCTCTAAACTGTGGAGTCTTGTGAGCAAAAATTCTACTTTGTGACCTACTGGCTTTGTACCAGAGCCATCCTTCCCGAGTTTGTACCAGAGCCATCCTTCCCGAGTTTGTACCAGAGCCATCCTTCCCGAGTTTGTACCAGAGCCATCCTTCCCGAGTTTGTACCAGAGCCATCCTTCCCGAGTTTGTACCAGAGCCATCCTTCCCGAGTTTGTACCAGAGCCATCCTTCCCGAGTTTGTACCAGAGCCATCCTTCCCGAGTTTGTACCAGAGCCATCCTTCCCAAGCTAAGACAAAAATGTGTGAGCCGAAGGCTAAAAAACTGTAAACTAGCTCACACTAACTGGTATACTCTAAATTTATATTGATTTACTTGTCCATAATAGGGGTATCCTTCCTTCTATCTGACTGAAAATTGGTGGGAAGGTTCCCTTGGGTCAAGAGTACAATCTCTAGAATTTTATTCCAGGGGAGGGGGGGATCACAGCCGAAATTTTAAAAAGTGCTTGATCTCCTATTCAAATAAATGGGTGATTTACAATTGCTGAAATTTGGTGGGTTGTGGCCTGTGACATCAGGTACTACTTGTTTTACTCTTTGGGATATGGCTTCTACAAGTGACATCCGGTACTACTTGTTTTACTCTGGCCACATGACCACGGAGAAGTCTTTGGACAGTGCCGGCTCTTCAGCTTGGAAACAGAGATGAGCAGCGCCCCCTAGAGTTGGATTCAACTGGCTTTCGAGCAAGGGAAACCTTTACCTTTACTTTACCATTGCTGAGGAAGCTGATATGTAAAAACATCCTCACTGAGCACCTCATAAAATCCGGTGACATGATGGAGGCAGATCAAAAGCATGATAAATTAGATAATGCCAGTTTTTAAAACTTGGAATAGATTTTGCCCTCATTCAGTCAAAAAACTAGTTCATCCACTATGAAACTGAAGTTCTATGAGAAATTAAAACAAAGTTAGTGAAAACCCAATGGCTAAACAGGATAAAGAAATTCCATAAAAGATGTAGTGCTCTAAAGTAAGTTTGTGGCAAGGCCTATAGCCAGCTGTTGCTTTATAGTGATGGTCTATTTTAGCAATCCTGATCACAAAGGAGAAAGAATGAAGCAAAGGCCAGCATGTAATTGACCCAAGTGATGAATTCTTCAGGCTTCTGTTTTCATTGATGATAGAGATGTTTCAAAAAATCACTCAGAACATTCTTGCCTAAATTTACTGCACCTAATTCTGTTATTGAGGCATTGGAAAAAAGTTTTAATGGGAAACAAATTCCAACTATGACTTCCCCCCACATAACTGTGAGAAATTCTAAGCGATAGTGCTCCTCTATAGCAAATTTCAGCCAGATACAAGGAAGGATGCCTTTTTAATTTAAATATAATGTACAGGCAATTAAAATTCTTGTTTGCGAAGTACAAAGGGACATGAAAACTTTGGTGTGGGAATGACTTTTTCCTCCTCTTCTGGGATCTTTGTGTGTGTATTTCCCCACAAAAGTAGAATGTGCAGGTACATGGAGCGAAACTCTGTTCTCCCCAACTTACCTCAATATACAATTTCAGTGTTTTCTTTCCAGTCTGTTCTTCTCTCTCTCTCTCTCTCTCTCTCTCTCTCTCTCTCTCTCTCTCTCTCTCTCTCTCACACACACACACACACACACACACACACACACACTGTAGCCTCAGTGCTATGGCTGCTTTTAAATACATTTAAAGATGATGTGAGCTCAGAAATTTGATCCTCACCGACTTGTCTGGGAGGCCTCAAATCCAATGTCACAGGTCTGTTCTAAGCTGCTTGATTTATTGGCCATACCTTTCATGGGAAGGGGGATGGACATTTGCCTCTGGCCTCCTCCCCTGTAGCCTACCTGTTTACCTTTGAGAAAGCTGTCAGAAGTGAGATAGGTTTGTAGGTATGAGACTTCCTTTCCTTAATTGGCCAGTCAGGTTCTGCCGCCATACTCCTCTGCTATCCAACATTTTCTACAAGTGTTGAAACTGTAGTGATGCCCAACGTATGTCTCCCCATACACAGCCCCCTAAGCATATTTTATGGTGAGCAATAAGATACTGTGCAAGAAACAGTAGAAAACAGACCACCTGGTCTAGAAAGCTCTCAACACTAACATACTGGGTGATCTTAAAAATATCAATAAACAAATTAAGAAAAAGAAGGCCTACACAGAACAACATAACAGATACACAGCTCCTTTTCATTCCCGAGTCCTTTTTAGATCCTCCTGCTATCCTGAGATTCTGTGTTTTGGGTTTTCATCATATAAATGTATAACTATTTATTTATTTATTTATTTTTGAGATTTCTATGCCGCCCTACCCAATGGCTCAGGGCGGCTAACAACAAGTTTAAAAATTAAGTGCAATAAAACACTGTTACACATATAGTAAAATCTGGTGCTACAAAAGCCTACATAGAAATACACAAAACACAGCAACCCACATTTAGCAGCTAGTATTCTTAAAGGCGAGAGCGCCAGGAGCAGTATTTCACAGCACAGTCGGGCAACGTCTGCTCCCCAAGATGTGATAGATGGATAATATCATTGCGGTGGTGGTATAGCTACGGCGGTGGCTCCTACCCAAAGGCCTGGTGGAAGAGCTCCGTCTTGCAGGCCCTGCGGAACTGCATGAGGTCCCACAGGGCCCGGATCTCCTCCGGGAGCTCATTCCACCAGGCAGGAGCCGCCACCGAAAACGCCCTAGATCTAGTGTGGGCCAGCCTCGCACCTCGGGGGCCTGGAACTTCAAGGCGATGAAGGTTCCCCGATCGCAGTGCTCTTGAGGGAACATAACTATTAGATTTAATATTGTTGGAGGTAAACTGGTGTGGTCTTCTTCCAAAACTCTCTAGAGAAATAGTCATTGCATTATCTGTGGAATGACATTTTGTTATCTGGTAACACTTCAGCACTGAAGCAGATGATGAACTAGAGCGAAGAGTACTCCGTAATAATGAGTCATCAAAACAAAAAGCAGCTGAAGAGAGATTCAAGGTACGTTTAGATAAAGAAATACAGTACGGTAAAAACCAGGAACTATACAATGATTCCCATTTTTAGTTTTCAAAATACATCTGTATTTCACACATGGGAGTTTAGCATTTTCTTTCTTCAGCTAGCACAGGAAGCACTATTGGAGAGGAGAAGGACGAGGTTCCCACAACTTTTCACGGTCTCTTAATGTTCTTCAATATTCAGCACAGCAAAAGTCCTCCCCTCTCCACAACAACTTATCAGGTCTTCTTTAAGCCCACAGATAAACAGTTGGTCTCCTCCTGAGGTTAGAAGTGACAGATTCTGGTTTGGGCATGTATCTCTTTCTCCTGGGGAGGAAAATCAGCTTTATGACTGTTGCTGCCATCCTTAATCTGAACTGGATGCTCAGTTTGAAGAATACAGCCTCTCATGACCCATTTCTCTAACAGCTGAACTATAATTTGGAAAACAGTCCCTCCTCCTGAAGGTGCTTTTAGGACTAGTATAAAACATTTCAGTGGATTTTCATCAAATTATTTTCTGTATTTCGCCTATCATCCCTCTTCTAAGAGTGAGTTCTAAGGGATGAAATATTTTTGATCTCCTCATACTGGAGACATTTCCTGCTCTCCTGAGCAGTTCTATGATAATGTGCAAATTGTACGGATAATCAAGGCATGTTTTGAAATCTGCTGATTTATTTCCAGGCACATTTCAAAATGCTGGTTCTTGCCTACAGAGTTCTAATGAGTCTGGTGTGGATCCTATGATGCCAGATTGCCAGTCTGTTGGTGCAGCAGCTCCTCTCATAGAGCAGCTTTTTTGCTTGCAGAGGAGAGTGGGTGATTCTTGCTCATCCTTCCCCCTTTCTTTCAGGCCCAAGGTCCACGGAGCATAAGGGGGGGGGGGCAAAAAAGGGTGCAGTGAGGTGGAGAGGTGGGGAAAATGCATTCCTATAGTGTAACTTTCTCCTTTACACTGCTTAGGACCCTGGCCTATATCTAAAGGGCTACCTTCTTGTCAGCTAAGATCTGCAAGTGAGGCTCTGGGTGTTCCCTGCTAAAGGGATATGGGTTAACATGACAGAAAGGACATTCACTTTGACTGTGGAACTCTCTTCTCCCCTCAGTTCACACGATGCTGAGCTTTCTGAATTTTTAGCTTCTTGTTTCTGAGGCAACAAGAGAGCCAGTTTGGTGTAGTGGTTAAGTGCGCGGACTCTAATCTGGGAGAACCGGGTTTGATTCCCCACTCCTCCGCCTGCACCTGGCTGGGGGGCCTTGGGCAAGCTGTAGTTCTGATAAGAGCTGTTCTTGAAAAAGAGCAGTTTCTGTCAGAGCTCTCTCAGCCCCACCTACCTCACAGGGTGTCTGTTGGGGAGGGGAAGGGAAAGGAGTTTGTAAACCGCTCTGAGACGCCTTTGGGTAGTGAAGGGCAGGGTATAAATCCAATCTCTTCTTCTTCTAAATAAATAAAATAGAAACTAATTTGAGTATCACAATGTTTTTGATCAGACTGGTGATGATGGAGATGTGAAAGAAGAAATGATTGAAAATTTTTTTGTTGGGAAGAACATGCTTCAAAAGGGAACAGCACAAAGTTTCGCAGAGCAGATCCTAGAAAAAGATAGAAATTGTAAGTATCTGTGGATGGATTTTTAATTTGCACTCCTTAGTGCTGAATTCAGTAAGCTTGCTTGCTTAAGAGCTCTTCCAGCCCTGCTAATGGATGTCTACTCAGAAATGAATTGCAGTTTGATTTGATCCCCATATAAGGCTACAATTGCTTCAGCACTTACAGTGCAATCATAAGTGGAGTTATACCTAGGGTTACCAGCCCCCAGGTCCCAGTGGGGGTTCGCCTGCGTTTGAGAGCTTTGATCCGCTGGCAGCCAGCTGGTTGATAGGGAAAACCCCACCCCCAAACAGGGACATTGCTGTGCGATGTCCCTGACACAATGACATCACCCAGAAATGATGTCATCGCATCCCTGATGTTGGGGGGGGGTGACGCTCTAGTTTTTGGGCAGATTCTACGGTTTTGAAGCCAAAAAACATAGAGTTTTGCCCCAAAACTAGAGTGTTACCCCCCGACACCAGCAATGGAATGGCATCACTTCCAGGTGACAACATCGCGCCACAGCAGAAGTTCCCAGAAAGGACCCGGGAGCCCCCCGCTGGCCGCCAGGTAGGACCTGGCAACCCAACCTATACTCATTGACTGAAGCAGAACTAGAAGGGTTTAATTCTGTTTAGGGTTGCACTTTTAATCCGTCTCTCCCTTGTAACAAACCACAGATAATGGAGGGAGGTGTTTTTGTCTTAATTTCCTACCTTAACTTTTGATTTAGGTATGCTATTGTGAAAGCTGGTCCAGCTGAAGTGCAGCATTGAAGAGATAGTTTTACAAAGCAGGACATCATGGGTCAGATCAGACCTCTGCCCTGACTTGGTTAAGGGGACTTAGGTGGACCACACTCCCCTTAAGCCTCAGCCCCCCACTACCATATGGACATAATAACTGCGACCTTCCTTAAGTTACATTGTAATTGTTAAGACAGCCTCGTAGGTCAAGATGTCACTATTTCCTGGGTTCTGAGTATTCAGCTTGTGGCTCATGCTTGCACTCCACACAGAAGAGCACTCAACCCCACTTTCTTCTTCTGTAGATTGAACCTCAAGAAAAATCTTTCCTGCCTGCAGGTGGTAGGGCAGGTGTTTGCCACAGTAGCTTACCAGTGGGTGGGCATGTGGCGAGAGAGTCTTTCTTCCCCTGTGGTACCTTACCTTGCTTCGTTCCCCCCATATGTGGAGTATGGAGAAAACAAACGTTTGCAAGAACATCGTGATCTATCGAGTAAAAATGGCAGGTTCAAGAGCCATATGAAGAGGCATTCCCTCCCCCAACATGAGAAAAGGAAGGGAAATGACTCTCTTTTTAAAGACGGTGTCTGTTGTGTAACAATTAATTAATAATTATCGTATGGCATTGTGTGTAGAATAGCCAGGAGATCCTAAGATTGTCTGACAGCCAGACGTTCTAGCTCTTTAGCGTTATGCACCACTAGGAGCTGCGGTGGCTCAAGTGGTTAAGACGCTGAACTGCAGGCTGTGGATGGTCAGTAGTTCAGCAGTTCAAGACCCGGGTGCCGCAAGACGGGGTGAGCTCCCGTCTCTAGTTCCAGCTCCTGCCAACCTAGTAGTTCGAAAGCAAGAAATTGCAAGTAGATAAATAGGTACCACTTCGGTGGGAAGGTAACAGCGTTCCGTGCGCCTTGGTGTTTAGTCATGCCGGCCACATGACCACGGAAACGTCTTCGGACAGCGCTGGCTCTTCGGCTTTGAAACGGAGATGAGCACCGCAACCCTAAAGTCGGATTCGACTGGCTTTCGAGCAAGGGAACCTTTACCTTTACCTTTACCACTAGGTGGTGAGCTAGAGTTGTTTTTAAGGCCAGAGGCATTTCAGAGGTGGTTTGCTATTGCCAGCCTCTGAGTCATGACTGTGGTATTCCTTGGAGGTCACCCTTCCAAATACTAGCCAAGGCCGACCCTGCTCCTTCAGAACTCCTTCACTTTCACTATGAGTTGTATATATTCCATGTGCCTTCAATTGTGTTCCTATTATTGCTACTTTTTGAGGTCCTACCCAAGGCTACTGGGCTGGATCCAGACTAAGTTTTCCAGTGGCAGAATGGAAGTTCTCTGACCCCCCCCCCTCCACTGCAGCCCACTGATCCCTACAAAATGCTACTCCTGGGGGATAGGGAATACTCCTAGGAGACCTGTAGAAAAATCATGAGGGTAAATCTGCAACAGAAAGGGGAATCAGTAGTGTTCCAAGCTCTGCCTTGGGGGTGAAAGTGAAGGAAGATGTGATGCTCTAGGCTCCCTTACCCAGACTTTGTGGTCTTTTGCAATATAGATTAGTGGAAATTCTGAGAGCATTGCTATGTGAAAGCTATTTTTTCTCTTTCTCCTCAGTACTTCACAGGTGGGAAGTTGGGGTTGTGGATGGCCTGGAAATCAGAGGAAATTGCCAATTTAATCTGGATCCAGCCCACTGAACATAGAGCTGTATATGCTTAAAGAACTGAAAAGGAAGTTATGACCTTGCCCACCCAGAAATTCCAGGAGGCATGTTTCTTCCCATCGCTTTAGCTTTATTTCTTCATGTCTAGAACTGCCCATTTGTGGCCAGTGTCTGTTTTATAAACTTCTATATATCTAGGAATAGATCTGCCATTGAAATTCAGATATGCCAGTTCTATTCCATAAGTGTCCAGGAACAGGCTATTGAACCCACATACTTTTATGCTTGAGACCTTTTCGGAAGAAGGGAAGCTGGAGAGGACATGTTCTACCTGTGCCAAGCTCATCTAATGTGGCAAGTCAGTCTAATAGACTTCAGCTAGTGCACCACTAAAGACCGCCCAGCGAAAAACACTGTTGGCAGTTTTAAGAAGGCAAGCATAGGGAAACTGACACTCCAGAAGGCTTTTACAAAACAAATGCAAACTACAGGAATTTTAACATACATTATTTTAGACATTTGTCCATTGTGTATATTAGGCAGAGATTGTAAACATGAGCTCTTCTGCAGTTTCAGATGGGTATGTGTGCCTGGAAGCTTTGAAAGTCAATGAAGAACAAGCAGCTCCAGATCCCAGATCAGCGCAAGCTCTGGAGGAACTGTACGATGATGTAGAAGGATTAGAGAGAGAGTTGTGAGTAAGCTACATATAAGAAGTCTTCATCTGTAGATTTAACCTTGTCAGAAACTGAAATATCTCTGAAAATATGACATGTGTATTCACATGAACAATCTAAAATTGTTTGTGTTGCAGTCAAGCCTCTGATAACTTCAGCCCATTCACGCTCAACAGAGGTAAGTGTGAAAGTAATGTAATGCTTTACAAAAGCCTCTTTAAAAATATTCAAAAGTGCAAGTTATCTTGTGTCTGAGACAGGCCCGTAGCTACAGTGGGGCATTCCGGGGCCTGGCCCCCTGACTTCCATCCAGCCCCCCTGGCTCTCTGGGCCACCCAGGAGACCACCAACTCTCTGAGCCACCCAGAGGAGTCCCCACTGCCTCCCCTTCCCCAAGCATGGCTTGCTTTGCCATATAGGCAGGCAGAGTGTGAATGCTGCAAAAGTGAATCTTTAACATTTGTATTTTATTTTGTGACGTCAGTGCCCCCTGACTTATTTAAAGGCCCCCTGAAGTATAAAATCCTGGCTACAGGCCTGATCTGAGACCTGTACAAAGCCTGCCTAGCCATTCTTGCAACAGGTCAAACCTCTGCCAATGAATACGCTGCCTGAATTATACAAATGACTGAGTCTGGGACAATGGATACAGTGTCAAGCCTCAATTGCTTTGCCGTGGCTATTGATATACATTTCCCTATAGCTCAAAGCATTTCACAACTTCACTTATAGTATGTGGGGAAACACAAATGTCGTGTTGTCTCTGCCCTAAGCCTCATGGGCTCCCCTGAGCTGCTATTTTTATATTCTGTCCATTAATTCCCAACCTTTTCTGCAGGAGAACTAAATGAATTTCTCCTTTGAAAGCTGATATAGTGAAGGGCATCCTGGTCCAAATCTTGCTTTAACCATGCACTAAACTGAGAGGTTTCAGGGGAAACTCTCTCATTAGCATAGCCGCTCCCCCAATCTGTAATATGGGGGTGCTGTTTCTAACTTCCCTTCTAGTATTGTTGTAATGTTTACTGACAATATCCACAGAGCATATTTACAGACTGCTTCCCTCAAGTATTTTAACGCTTTCCAGAGACCTTTGTCAATGTATTCCTTGTTCCAAGACTTGCCTGCAAACAGAAGTTTACTCTAGTTTGGCATACAAACCAGATGGTTATTATTTTTAGAAGCATCTGCATGACTTTGCCCCATAATCACCCACTTTCCAACTTTCCATCTTTTTTTCCACTTCACTATGATCTTTAGCAAACAAGTATGGAAATTTTTTTGTTGAAAGATCACTTTCAAAGATTGTTTGTATGCCATATGGATGGAAGGTCATATTCCCGCAGTTCTCCCCCACCACCACCGCCCCAATATTCCCACTATTGTCTGCCATCTACTCCAATACCAGAAGGCTTTTGTAAAAAAACAAGAACGGCATACTGTAGCATTACAAAGTTCTATCTAATCCTCTGGATTCCCAGGTTTCTTTAAAAACAAAAAAAGTGTAACCCTCTGTCCCTGTACATTGCTGATATATGCCCTTCCCCTTATCTCTGTAATGAAGAGGCTAGAGTATTTTAAAAATGAAATTTAGAGGACCAGCTGATTGTTATAACTCTGTAGCTATTTAAAACAAGCAAGTAAGCAAGCAAAAAAACAAACCACCAAGTGGCCCAGGGGGTGGATGGCAGCCATGGGGGGTCTGATGCAGTGCAAAAGCTACAGAGTATCACTGCCGTGTGGAAGGAGCCTAGAAACCTTGCCTCCTCCCTTCTTCTGTACTACATCTGCAACACCAGCCTTGTAGCCTCTTGACAACTCATTAGTTTATAGCTAATCGAATAAATGGGAATTGCTTTTTAATCAGTTTTCTAATGGAAAAGGATACATTCCTCTACAAATTAGGAATAGAAGGTACATTTTTGTATGGGGTTGCTTTTGGCAGGTCTTCTGAGCCTGAGGCATGTTCTCTTTGATAAGGTGCACAGTGCTTTCTGCCTGGACGCTTTGGCCCCCCCACCTTCTTTCTGAATCTGGCTTCAGGCTTGTTGAATGGCATGTGGGCTTCTTGTGTGTTCCCCTCCCCTTAAGCTACTTACACTCCTTTCTTTGAAGTAACCACTGTTGAAATTGCCAGGCTATCAAACAGATATTGCCAGGGGGCTATAATCATACTGTCAAAGAAAAAATGGCCCTCTTATGAGAAACTGATTAGCCCGCAATAATACTTAATAGTGGCAATTCAGTGTGTGATGGCTGAAGCCCTGGTAATCCCCATTTTAATGTAATTTAATGTTAACATTTCATTGCAAGAACAGTGATAGTTTTTAATCTGCTCTTCTGGCTCAGTTATTTTATAGACTTTTGTCCTAAGAATATACGAATTGTTCAATATTAGAAAACCTTGTTAAAATAATTTGATATTTTAAAGAAACCTGTTAAAAGTACCATACAGGCATAGCTCGTTTAACATGTCCACATGAAAAGCTTTATAGCTTTGACTAATTTGAAACTTATTGACCTTCCAATGGCTCCTTACTTTTATTTGTAATAATCTTGTAGTTATTTCTCCTTGCAAGAGGCTGTTGGTTTCAAAACTATCTTTCTTTTCCTTTCCTGTCACACAACTTTTTAAGAATCCTGCCTTTCCCCTTTGCAAGGCCCCCAAAGCAGGCATTTTAAACTTACTAATGAATGTGAGAATATCAAATACTTTCAAACTTGAGACAGAAATACAGATTTAACTTGTCACAGTTTCCCCATCACCTCAATGGGTAGCCTACCATGTGATACACTACAGAAGGACTTCATTTTAAGGAAACACATCTGTATTTATGATTGTCAGAATGTGCTGACAACTTATAAAATGCATCGATAAAACAGTACAAAAGATACAATACATAAACTTTTATTTATTTATTTATTGTTTATATTTATATCCCGCCTTTCCAGATATCTGGCTCAAGGCAGCTAACAACATTAAAATGGCATAAACAACCAAGTTAAAACAATTAATAAATACCATACCAGTTAAAACAACACCAGTTGCAATTAACCCAAAAGAAATGGCGGTAATCCGAATCCCATCCAACGATAGGGGTAGCGTCCAGCAGAATCTCAGGCCCGAGGGTGTTCTAAAATTTCAGACCAGACGATGTTCCACGGCACACTCATCAGTGGCAGCCCCTAATTGAAAGCCTGGTGGAAGAGCTCCATTTTACAGGCCCTGCGGAACTGTAAAAGGTCCCGCGGGGCCCTGATGTTCCCTGGGAGCTCATTTCACCAGGTTGGGGCCGCCACTGAGAAAGCCCTGGTTATGGTGACATTCAGCCTGGCTTCTTTCAGACCAGGGAGGGTCAGGTGATGTTGCGACCCTGGCCACAGTGCTCTCTGGGGCACATATGGGGAGAGGCGGTCCCTCAAGTAGGCAGGCCCCTGACCATGTAGGGCTTTAAAGGATAGCACCAGCACCTTGAACCGAATCTGGTATGCTATAGGCAGCCAGTGCAGTGTCCTCAGCACAGGCTAGATGTGGTTTTAAAATATAAAATGATTAAAAGTCTATCCCAGTTAAAATCTCTCCACTGTCAAGCAGTATAGGATGCATGGATGGTGAAAACACAGCTGAAGCATAAATTGCTAGCTGCCTGGCAGATCACAATCACCCAAAGGCCACCTGAAAAAGAGTAGCCTTGCCTGCCCTGCAGAACCTAGAGACATCCTGCGAGGCACGCACCTCTTCAGGCAGCTGGTTCCACAGGACACGGGCCACTACTGAGAAGCCCTTGCACTTGTTGACACAAGGCGGGCAGTTTGTGGTCCAGGGACCTTCAATAAACTCCTAGTTGATGACTGGAGAAGATGGGGAGGATTATGCCAGGAGAGGCAGTCCCAAAGGTATGAAGTTCCTGGCCATTTAGGGCTTTAAAGGTAAGTACCAACACTTTGAATTGGCACCAGAAACTAATCGGGATCCAGTGCAGCTGCTGTAGGAGAGGTGTTATATGTGCTGACCGGTATATCCCTGGACCACTTGCAGTTTCTGAAGCGTCTTCGAAGGTAGTGCTGTGTAGTGTGTGTTACAGGTGACTGTTGCATGAATTATCATGGCAAGGTCCTCCCAGGACAGATAGGGGACCAGTTGATGGGCCCAGCATAGGTGGTAAAATGCACTTGTTTGTCCATGGAAAGCAAAGAACTGAGACACACCTCCAGACTCCTGACAGAGTCAACCATAGAAAATCTGACCCCGTCAAGGGTTGGTAGAAGTGGTTACCCCAGCGATTCAGGCTTTCCCAGCCCACATCTCTGTCCAGCTCTGTCTTAGGTGGATTTGGCTTCAACCAGCACTCACCTAGCCATTCTACCACTTCATCCAGGGAAGAGACTAAGACTGGGATTCCAGCCACTGGTCCCTCTTCAAGTTAGACGTAGAGCTGGGTGTCATCTGCGTATTGATTACACCCCACAAATACAACTGAAGGATATAATGTATTCATTCTGGTGGTATATTGTTGCACAGAAAACATTTTAGGTTCTCTGCAAAGATTTGTGTATGTAACGAGGACAATTTTGCCAATTCCCCCCTCTGTTGGCAGCTTCTTCTCATGCTGCCCTATCTCCTAGGAGCAGCATTTGGGGGGCTCTTCAGGCTGCAGTGGAAATGGGGAACTAGGAAGTCACTGTGGCTTAGTGGCAGAGCACCTGCTTGGCATGCAGTAGGTCCCAGTTTCAATTCCTGGCTTCTCCAGTTAAAAGGGGGTGGTAGGTAATCTGAAAGACCTCAGCCTGAGACCCTGGAGAGCCACTGCAAGTCTGAGTAGATAATACTGACTGTTATGGACCAAGGGTCTAATTCAGTGTAAGGCAGCTTCATATGTTCATATGTTCACCTCTGTGCATGGAAGTGTTAGATGGGATCTAGCCCTTTGAGTTATCCATAACATTCTGGAGATTAGTACTCCACATCTTAGAGTTTTGATGTTTTGATATTTGATTTACTGGTCACTCTAACAACATTAAAACTCATGTTGAGATTTCTGTTTTTTAAAAAAAGATAGTTAAATTTTGTTTTACTTAATGAATGTTAACTTTTTAAAAATATGCTTTTTTTTTAATCCCCTGAAGACAGAGTAGCTTTATTTATTTTTGTTACACCTACAAAACTACAGAAAATAAAAATGGGAAAGGGGAAAAAAATAAAAAACCCTGGGGTACAAGACAGCAAATAAAAAAGCCCACACTATGACTAAAAACCCAAGAAAGGAAGGTCATTAATAGTTAGTATTCAGTTAGTCATAAAAATAATAACTTTTCGTTTAAGTCAATGAATTCAAGAGTTAGTGAGTCCGTTTTAGTAATTGTCTATTTTCTTTTTTTGATGTGCACAAAGTCTCTTTCATCTTCTTCTTCAGTTGTGGGTCTTTAACTTCCAAAGAGTTACTTGGGTCCCCTTAGCTGCAAATCATATGCATCTCTGGCCGTGCCACCTTCTGCTCCTCCTGGGTCTCCGTCCATCTCTTCAAGAGTGTCTGCTTGGCCCCCTCCGTCTGGCTGTTCTTCCCTTTTCGATCCATGAAACTGCTTCAACCATTCTTCCGCTTTAAAAACCGAGTCAATTTTCTCCCTTTTGTCTTTATATTTAAACACCACACCCTCGGGGAAATTCCAGGAATACGAAATCTGGTTGA